AAAATTGGACCGCAGAGATTAAATTTGGTGAGATTTTGTAAAAAGAGTGAATCATACTTCTATAAAACTTGGTGTGCCTGTAGATCACAGTACTCATGTACAGACCAGAAAGGTAAGAACAGAATAAAGAGAACAAGCCTGATCCCGCTGTGTATACATGCTGATGTTCAAGTACCAAAACTAACTAAATATAGATATCTATCTATCTATATCTCTCCCAATATATTGTATAGATAAATAAATACCACAACTGAAGCATTGGCAAACAAGTGAGATTTCTAATCACTTTTGCTCTATGATAGCACAGGCATAGTTGAGTCATACAACAAAATTATTTCTATTAGGAGATTGCTCAGCTTTATCAAAGCAGAAGCACCGTGAGCAGCAATATAGTAATACTGTAAATTGCAAATGGATTACCATTTGATTCAACAAAGTTAATAGGTGATGATGGCCTATAATTCATATGTGATTCACTTTGGCAAGTCTTCCATTTGTCAGTTCATCAAGCCTATCCTATACATAAGCAATTAAATCAGCAGGGCTAAAAAAGAAGAAAAGGGCTCAGGTAGTTTAAAGAGATCTTTCCTTCATACTGTTCAAATATCATCGCCTACTTCTTAGTGGTTTTCTTTTCTTGCTAGGACCAGTAAATCAGCTCAGTAGGCACAATAATAAATAACACACTGCTGATTTCCAAGCAGCTTCTAGAAGCAGGAAAATTAATTCCAAAACAGTTACAAAGAAACTACGCACTGGAAAAGCTTAACTGGGAGGAATACTAAACAAAGAACAGCAAACAGTTACCATCACTACAAACGGGAGATATTGAATTTCGGAGAAGTGGCTGGAAATGTGTCAGGCTGGCAGCCGCAGCACAAGCACTAAATTCATGTGCAACTAGGAGGCTTGGTCCTACGGCGGGGACAAAGGACACATACAGAAATAGACTCCCAAGGAGAATCCTGCCTCTGTTTCTTGATGACAGCCAGAATGTTATCGGCATCACTGGCACAGATGGCCATAACCCACTTACTCACTCTTAATGAAAACACAGAGAGCAGCCAACACAGGATCCAGGAGCTAAATTAACCTCTGCAACATCGAGGTTGTGCACAAAGCTCTGTTGTGAGAAGAAGAAGTGTTTGTGCCATCAGTGCCACCAGTTTTATTCTTACTGCTGCTGCCTGAAGGGTGTCAGCCAGGGTTTCCCTCCCCTCTCCTCTGGCACTGGATTCCTCAAGGAGAGTGATGGGTGTACTGACAGTGACCTGATGCCCACGTAGCACATCTGCCCGGAGGATATGGCTCCTGGACTGAGGGAGTGATCACCTGCACTCACTTTAAAACACATGTTCCACACGTTGACTCCCTGCTGATAGACTCAAGGAGAGGCCAAACAAATACCCTCAGTGCTTGGAATGCTTGGATCGCATTTTCTTTGGTAGAAATGGTCTCTTAAAGTAAACATAAATGAAAACCAAGCATACAGAAGAGAATATTTGCATTTAAATGTCAAAATTAGGCCTAACAAAAGGGGGGCATGGCTTTCTGCAAAGCTAAATAATCTCTGGCTGATCCATCTACTGAAATTCTTTGAAAGCATCAAAAAAAGAAACCATCCCAATAAAACAAAGAGATTTTGGTGGACTAGTCAATGTTTTACAGTGTTTCAAAAAGCCTTTGATTCAATCTCTAAGCCAGAGAGGACTCAAGCAGCTAAGTAATCACTGGGCGAAAAGAAAAGCACAATCATGGTTCAAAAACTGGAGATGGAAAACAAAGAGCAGAATTGAACTGCAAGTTTCTGTGATGGCGGAAGGTTAACGCCAGCCAGCTTCGGGGCTCTGCAGCAAGTCTCATATTGCTGCTGTATTTACCACTGATCTAGAAAGAGGGCTGTATTGTGAGATGGCAACATTTGCAGCTGTCATAATTATTTCAGCTAAGCAACACAAGAGGGGACTGTGACGATGAGGAAGTGCTAACGAAACAGAATGCACCATGTAATGGTGAATTAAATTCAATACTGAAAATTCAAAACAACACACGTTAGGGAGGGATGTGAGTACCACTTCTAAATCTGACAAGATCTCATTCATTTATACTGAACTGGAAAGTAAACTGGGCATTTATATAAATATCTATCTGCTATTTCTAATCCCCACAAAGCTGTAGTCAGAAAAGAAGTTAGTAGGACATGGGAGGAATAAGTAACATACCGGTTAATGCCAATTATTAGAATTCTCTACAAAACCTCTGGCATAGTGTGCAGTCTATCCTCACTCAGAAAAAGTGATGTGAACTTGTTTGTCTAGGGGCATAGTTTGGAGAAAAGACTTTTATAAAAAACAATGCTTTGTTACACTTGGATTATTTATCCTTGGAAGATGGCAAAAGATGTGATAAAAGCAACCAGAGTAGCAAAGTAGGGAATAATGTCAAGAAGTAAGTGCAGAAACACCACTCTCCTGTCCTACTGTTCAAGAAACAGGAATCTCATGGTGACAATCTCAAATGGGTGACATGAAGCATTTGGGCACAAATACTAGAAGTGAGACACATCTGAGGAAGTAGATATGGCAGAAAATTTACTGACAATCACAAAAGACTTAAGACACATCTACACTTAGGAACATAACAAATGTATCTCCCAATGTCTATAGTTAGCCAAATACTGTATTTTTAATAAATTTTTAATTTATTAAATAAAAATGTGGGATAAAATTAATAAAAATTAATTTTAATAAAAATGTGAACATCTAAGCTTCATGGTTTACAACAACATCTAGATATTAGAAAGCAAACTTATATACAGTGGGAGATAGCCTACAGTGCCAGGGTAATTGACCTCAGGCATGGTCCAGCTTGTGTTTCAACATCCATCCTAGGCACTTCTACTCTGTACAGTTTGCAGCTTCTCCTGATAGAGTATTTTTAGATAACTGCAATTTGTCCAGCCATAAATGCTATTAGACATCATCAAGCAGTTGCATGTGACAGGATATTTTGGTAACTATAGGTGAGAAATGTTTAGCTTCATACAAGCCTTTGTGAGTGTCACACCTCCATTACCTCACACGTCATTTCACACAGATGAAGCATAATTAGCCTCCTTTGTTTCCTGCTTCTGTGCCTATACTCCAATATGCCGGCAGCTGGAAAAGGGTTTGTGAAGTGATCAACATTTCAGGTTCATGGAATCATAAAATTTTTAGGGTTGGAAGAGATCAACCAGTCCAACTTTGTTGCCAAGGTAGGGTCACCTAGAGCAGGTGATGCAACACATCCAGGTGTGTTTGGAATGCTTCCAGAGAGGGAGACTCCACAGCTTCCCCAGGCAGTCTGTTCAGTGCTCTGCTACTCTCAATGTAAACTTCTTCCTCATGTTCAGGTGAAATTCTGTTTTAATTCATAGGCACTGCTCCTTGTCCTGTTGCTGGCCACCATTGAAAAGAGTCTGGCACCGTGCTCTTGACACCCACCTTTGAGATATTTATACGCATTAACAAGATGCCCTCTCAGTCTTCTATTCTCCGAACTAAACAGGCACAGCCCCCTCAGCTTCTCATCATAAGAGAGATGCTCCAGGCCCCTCATCGTCTTTGTGGCCTCTGCTGAACCCTCTCCAGAAGCTCCTTGTTTTTCTTGTACTGAGGAGCCCAGAACTGGACACAAGATCTAGATTTGCCGGTGACATTCCTTTCCTTTTCTAATGTTTTCCAAGGCAAGCTTGACAATCTGTAAACCATTTCTCTTTCACTGCTGCCATGTGAATATATTAGTGCGGGCAACCTCTGAATAACCAACAACATTAAGCACAAAAAAACACCCTGCAACACAAAAACCAAAGTAAAACAGGCCCCAAACAAAACCCCCTCAGAAACACTGCGCTGCTCCTCCTGTCCTCTTGAGCTGAGGCATTCCCAACCTTTCCCACCCCTGAGAAATGCTCTCAGTGGCATTTCCCCATATCGGCTGTAGTGCTGGACACAAGGTGTGGGCAGCAGACCCACGTTGTGCCTGTCAGGAGGCACAGCCTCCCTGGGGGCACACACCAGCCTGTCTCCATTTACCCTAGCTGCCATCCCCAATCATCCCCAAAGGCTGCCATGCCATCTTCTCCTTCTTCTCCAACTCAATGTCATGACCTACACCTGAAGGCAGGGTAACTGAGGTTCTTGTTAATAGATCACTTGGAGTGGACAAAAATGAAATGACACTGAGTGGCTGGTGTTTACATATGTGTATATATATATGTGAGTATATGTGCATAGTTTATGTTCTTTTACAAGAATTGTCATTTGATCTGGCACTGTTTGTGGGTCATGCCAACTATTACAAGGCCAGGTCATACTGGGAGGAAAAGGGTTGGCATTATGAGTATTTAATTTCATCAGGAGGGGACAACCCTCACTGGACTCACTCCAGTGAGTCAATCCCTTTGAATTAGTCATTAATGCACTGAGGGTTAATGTGTCTCCCCATTACCCCTCTGAGGGTCAGCTTGACCTTATCCCAGAGAAAACCTTTCAACTGGTCTGGGTTACACAGAAAACTTTTCAACAGGTCTGATGTGCCCAGGACAACACCGAGAGGAGAATTATCACTACAGTCTCATGACTGTAATGTCAGTGACAGGACTCGAGGAAACAGCATGAAGCTGTGTCAGGGCAGGTTTAGGGTAGAGAATGGGAAAACATTCTTCACCCAGAGGTTGGCTGAGCACTGGAACAGGCTCATGGAAGTGAGCCGGAAGTGGTTATAACACCAAGCCTAGCAGTGTTGAAGACACATTTGGACAAAGCTCTCCAGCGGCATATTCTGATTCCATGATAATTTGGCTGGGCCTCGGCAGCAACACCCTTCAGTAAGCCACTGAGGGTCAGCGTCCCTTTCCCCACTACCCTCGGGGGGTCGCTCAGACTTCCTCCTGGAGGAAAGCTCGCGACAGGTCCGGGTCACGCCACAGAGCCCTACAACAGCTTTGGACCGTAGGGATGGCTCCAGCACCAGACCCGAGGGACCCTGTCGGTACCGCCAGTTCAACTCTCCTGCCCTCACCCCTCACCCCCCTCCCTCCGCGCCTCGCGCCCCCCGAGGGGCGGAGACCCCGCCCCGCCGCGAGCGCGGAGAGGAGGAGGGGCGGGGCCGCGGGCTCAGCTGACGCGGGGGCGCGCGGCGGCGGGGGCGCGCGGACAGGTGCGCGCACACCCCCAGGTGCGCGGGCACGCGAACATCCCATCCCCCTCCTTCCGCGCAGCCCGGCACCCCCCGAGCCCCCTCTGTCACCAGCGAGGAGAGCAGGGACCCGGGGATGCGCCCATCTCAGCAAATCGTCTGAGGAGGTTGTTGGGTGTTACCGTCCCGACCCTCCGATCTGTGTTTTGCAACCGTCCAGGAACGCAACTGGGATTATTTATTATTGTTCCCTCTTATTAATTTAATTAAGTCTTGTTGGTGTAGCATTTTTTTCGCCCCGTGTTAAAGGAAATGAAGTCAACATCATTAAAAGGAGTGGAATAGGCGTATGCCAAAGTATTTGTAAGAGCACGTTAAAAATATTCTAATATGAATTCCAGCTGTCTCTCTCTCAGGCCTCTGGTAACTTTTCCGAAGAAATCCAACGACGCCGCAGCCCCGCTGCTGTCGTCTGTGGGCTGAATGCAAATTTGTGGCAACAGGGGGAAGCAACCTTCGTTATTTCCTACAGTCACACTTTTTAAATCAAGTTAACTAGGAATTTTTAAAAGCCTTTGGCATTGCCTTTGGAGTAAGGCTCATGATGTTTGGGATTAAAGGGAAATTGTACCAGCCTCACCTGCTTCAGGGAACTGCAAAGACCCCGTGAGCCCACAGCAGTGCCACACAGGGCATGTGGCATGGCAGGGGGCTGATGGAGTACCTGAGTTCCAGGAGCTGTGTTTTGGGGTACCCCTGTTCAGGTACAGCCATGTGTGGGGTTCTGGTGTGCAGAGTGGTGTACTGGTGTGTCAGAGCTCTGGGGTACCTGTGGGCAGGTGTAGCAGCGCACTGGGGTAACTGCGTGCTGGGGTACCCACGTGAAGGTGCAATGCTGTGTTGGGATCCCTGTGTCTGAGTGCTGGGGTACCCGTGTGATGGGCACCTGCGAGGGGTATCCCACCCCCTCCCTAGCCTGCCTTCCCCAGGATGTCATAAAACCATCCCAAGGGATGAGCTGCAGAACGGGGCTCCCGGCAGGAACAAAGAGCACCCCCCTGCAATAGAGGGTGTATGGATGCTGCTTCCTTTGCAGTCCCCTGGCTGGAGGGCACTGGGAGCACCAGCACTGGTCCTTTCCCTGTTTTGAAACACCAGGAGACATTCCTGGTGTCTCAAATGCATTGGGAACAGCAGCACTGCTGTGAGGAGGGAAAAGCAGCTTCCCTGGAGTCTCCACTGGACATGGACTGCAGTTGACCATGGTCACTCCCTCCTTCCACTCAGTGTTCAGTGTTTTCCTCTGGTCTATACATTTCTCCCTGGCTTTCTGATTTCCTAAACCGTAGGGAAGGATTTTCCATGGAGATTCAGTGTTCTCTCCGCGTTGCACATGCAGGAGGCCGGCCCACAGGTTCCCTTTGCCAAGCAGGGCAGAAGTCACTTGCACCAAAGTTTGGAGCTCAGCAATACTGAAAATCTGGAGATATTTCTTGAATTTAAGGAGGAGGGCTGCGTGTAAGTCTGAGTTTGGTGCTGCAGTGCAGTGGCAGAGAACAGTTTCAGCCTCCTGCCCTGTGTGCTGCATTATTGCTGGGGGGTTTATCCCGGATTTTATTAGCCATGTAAGCATCTCCAGAGGCATGCAACTGTCCTGCTCTCAGGAATGACTCCTCCCTCACTCAGCAGTGCAAGTTTCAGGGACTTGCCTGTGCAGCTGCTGGGATTCAGGCATTCCTGAAACTTCTTTCCCCTGAAACCCTGCCCTGACCCTGGGCATGGCCAAGGGGACCCTGCGTTGGGACAAAATTCCCAGGGATTGTGTCAACCCCTGAATTATAGTGATACCACCAACACTTTTCATAGTGATTTTCCTTTTTTCTTTACTCTTAAAGGATGTGATGGGAATAACAGGCAAAGCCACTGCAGGGCCTAACAGAGATGGTGGGGGGAGGCCAAGCTGCAGTCCCAAGCCATGATCCCCTAATTTCTCAGCACCAGGGGCTCCTTGCCTTTATGGATTTGATACATGGGCAGTGGGAGCAGCGCTGGGACACCGGGGTACCGCAATCGCTGCACCCGGCTGGCACAGAGCCCCTCTGCCGCAGGGCTGGGACAGCCGGAGGCTGCCCGGGGCTTTGCATCCCACTGCCGCCGGGGCGGATGCTGCAGCTCCAGCCCGGGAGCTGTAACCCTCCCACAGCCGCATCCATATGGGATAGGGATATATGTGGATACGCACATGTACACGCGGGTCGCAGCGCTGGCAGGCAGGACCACGCCGGGCGGGAGAGCTCAGGGGTCCCCCCGCAGCCCCCGCCGCGGAGCCGGGCCCGGGAGGCGCCGCGGGGAGCGGCGGGGGCGGGCGCGGCGGCTGCCAGGTGCCCCCCTCCCTCCATCCCTCCCGCCCTCCGCACGGCTCTTCCCTGGATTTCTCCCCCCCACCTTTTTATTTTCGTTATTTATATTTTTAATTTTTTTTGGGGGGGGGAGGGGGTGTTGGGGAGCTGGCCAAAAGCTTCCCGCTCTCCGCATGTGCGTGATTTAGAGTGACAGAATTGCGAGCCGGGGCTGGAGCAGCGATAAATCAGCTCCTCGCCGGCGTGGGTTGCCGGGACTCGCCCAGCGCCGGACGGAGACTGCGGCAAAAGAGAGGGGGAAAGGGGAAAAAAAAAAGCCGCCGCCGCTCTGCCCGCCTCGCCCCCGGCCCCGCCGCGCCCCGCGACGCCCCTCGCTCCCATCGGGCACCTCCACCGGCCGCCGTCATCGCCAACCCTCCCCCACCCCGCCCCCCGTCTTCTACCGAGACGCTCCGGTTGTGGGGGTGACCCGCGCTCCGCACGGCCCCGGGCCTGCCCGTCGCTCCGCCCCCGGGCCGTCCGGTGACAGTCGCGACCGCCGCGGGAGGTGGCGGCGGAGGAGCAGGAGGAGGCCGGAGCCGGGATGTCCGGGCAACAGCAGCAGCAACAACAGCCGCCGTCGCCACAGCTTTCTTTGGCGGCCGCCGTTCCCCCGCCGGCGCCGGGGATCCCCTCCGCCGCCGCAAGCCCCGGCCCCGCTCCGGCCGCCGCACTCCTGCTCCACCCGCCCCCGCCGCCTCCGGCCACCGCGCCCGCGGCCGCGGGGGGCGGCGGTGCCGGCGCCGCGCTGGGCCTGCCGGCGGGGAGCGGCACCAGCGCCCCGGCGCCCTTCCCGCACGGAGACCCGGCCCTGAACGAGCAGGAGAAGGAGCTGAAGCGGCGGCTGAAGAGGCTCTACCCGGCCGTGGACGAGCAGGAGACGCCGCTGCCCCGCTCCTGGAGCCCGAAGGACAAATTCAGTTACATCGGCCTCTCGCAGAACAACCTGCGGGTGCACTACAAAGGTGAGGAGGGGCGGCCCGCGCCGCCGCAACACCCCCTGACCCCCCCGGGGCCGGGGGCTGCCCGACCCCTCCGTCGGGCAGTGGGCACAGGAGTAACAATAACAGGAAATAACACACGCTCCTCTCCCTCCTCCTTCCTTGTTTTCCGATCCCCTAAATTTCTCCCCGCAGCGTGGAGATAAGGGGCTTGTTTTCCCTTATTTCAGGTTTATTTTTCTCTCCTTTCCCCTCCCCCCCCCCGTTTCTGTCGCCGTGCGGGGAAAGGCGGGGGGGACACAAGGGGCCGCCCCCGCCTCCTTATGCTTCTGGAGTGGGCATTATGTAAACTCCGAGACTTCCTCCGTGGATTCAGGTATCGCCGGAACGTTTGGGTCGGAGGCAGGAGAATAAAGGACGCTCGGCATGACGTGTCCTGTTTATGGTAATGAGCGAGAAAAAGAAGTGGCTGCTTTTTCCCCCCCCCCACCCTCGAGAAGAGCAAGGGTTAAATGGAGTTAAGAGCAGCAAGCGTTAAGCTATTGAACACGGAAATGACGGGAGGGGAAAGCACTGAGAAAAACACGGTTTATTTTTAAACTGTGAAAAAAAATGACTTTAAAGTCACTGGTAATAGTCTTGCCTAACTATTGCACAGAGTGATTTGAGGGAAGGAACGACAATAGGACTTACATTAATAAAGGTGACTGAAACTTTGTTCCTAGACGTTTCACAGTTAAAGTTACAGATTTTCAAATAAAAGGTAAAAGACAGTATGCTTTTGTATTGAAAAATAACATCAGCAAGAGGCATTAGAAGAAAAACTTGTGTTGATTGTTATGAAATGTCATAAAACCTGGAAACATAAGCCTACACTCTGACCTGAAAAAACACAGACACATCTGGTGTTCTAGGCCCAAAGTCCTGAAGTAGAAGTAAAACCACTTCTGAGTTGGCTGTGAAGAGCTGGATCTTTTGTCAATCTGTAGTCAAATGAACGTAGTGGGAGGGGAAAAAAACAACCATGCAGTTGCCCTTTCTCAGAGTTTGCAGTGGAGAAATTCAAGGGAAATCTCGATAAACATGTTACTGTTTAATCGGAGGAGGAAAACGGTAACACACATGGCAGGATTTGGCTGCCATGAAAGGATTAAATGTACTCTGGGAGACTTTTTTTTTAATAGAGAGGTTTTATTATTACACACAAAATACTCTGTTAAAAATGCTAAGTTTAATGCACTGTACAAAGATAATAAAGGAGCTTGATGACTATAGAGCAGGTTTCTGGGAGGCACCAAGTGATTTAAGGATGTGTAATTTAATACTCAACTCTGAATTTCCTGGCTTTTGTTCAGTGTTTTATGACCTTGTATTTTTAGAAACATTTTGTATTTTCTGGTGCTTAGTGGCAGTGGGTTGTTTGGTTTTGGTGTTTTTTTTCTTCTAAGATAATCATAGCTTAGTGGCTATCAACTCCTTCTGCTGGTTTGTTTTGCTTTGGCCAACTTCTTTTTCTCATAAGCTAAAATTTAGAGGTCGAACCTCTGTGATCTCTCAGTGTTATTGCAGAAGTATATTTTTAGGCTTTCCTTGTGCTATCCCTGTTTTTCCTCACTTACCTTCTTTGCCGTGGTGTTAAGGAAAATCATTGCCTCAAAGAAGTTAGAGAAGTCATGAAGCACAGTTAATAGGACATGACAATGAAATACCTTTACTCTAACTCTTAAATAATGGTAAGTGCTGAAGGTGGAAGAGTTCCTAGGTTAGCCCAAAGGACCCTGAACAGGAGAGATGCCAGTATGACATGTCCGTGCTTTTCTTTTTCCTAAGTGCAGATGGGAATAAATGGCTTCTTAAGTGGCCCATCTTTTCTTCTGGGTAATTTAATGAAGATGGCTGCTAGGGCAACTCCTGTTTATATTAAGCAGCCTGGTACCTGGAGTTGCTAACTGGGCTAAGCAGTGAATGGTATCAGAGTATTTCTACCTGAGAACCAGGGGGCAAACATGCTGAACATCTCCTGCCTTTTCTCCCTCCTGCATCCTTCAGCCCTAAGAATACAATAAAAGGGGAGAAAATGAGGAGAGTAGGGGAAGATGGCAAGTAAGAATGTGCTTAGCCCTGTGAAATAGTGTTTCTACAAATCAGTTTCAAAAGAAAGCGCTCGCAGTATCTTCTTTTGTAATATTGACAATTTCAGTGCGTTTGAAATTGCCTAAGTAGTAGTGGAAAAACATTGGATTTTTTTTTAAAGGAAACATGAATTTTATATTGAGCAGGGATAAAGAAATGTTGTATTCTTGACCAAAATACTCAAGGAAAAAGATCGATCTGTCCAAAGAAGGCAGTAACCTAAAGCAATTCTTACTGTTTTCTATTACTGTAGTATAGGTACCCTGTGCACTTAAATTTTCTCTTCTGCCTCTGTAGATTTCTGGCTATAGAACTGTTTTTCTGGAGTAATTTCCTTCTGTGACTGATAGGAGGCAGAAAGTGTTAACAGCAGTGCTTTGCCTTCACCTTGGGTGTGTTGGGGTTACTGAAGAAATGTGTGAGAGAAACAATCAGCACAAAAGCTTTAGAAGTTATTTTTCATATAGTTACCTTCTTATTTTAATGTGCTGATGTATTGCGAGTAGTGAGATTTTTGTTTCATTAGTTTGTGAGATGGTCCTCTCGATGTAATTTCTGAAGATTCCTTTTGTTTTCTTGCTTACCAGTGGACAAGTTGTATGGAAACATGAAGTGCAGTAGATGTCTCTTTCTACCCATTGCAGCTGAGATGTTTTGTGTTCTGCATTTCTGGACCTGAAGATTTTTGCAAGCATCCTACAGAGTGCTTAAGAAATGAAAACTGTCACAAAACCGGGCCATTGATCTAGTGGTGGAGGTTTTAAAAAAAGGAATATAGTCTAGCATCAGGAAAAAAGCTCTTCAAATTGTGTTAAGGTCAACAAAACCCAAGAGTCAGTGCTTTTTTGTGCTATCTCTCAGAATCATAGTATTACTTGGAAAGGAAAACTTAAATGGGGGGGTGTTTTTGTTTAGCAGATTAGGTAGCTTTGTTAAAGTCTTGATACAAAATACATAGACAATGGCATCAGTGATACCATAAATATATGAAAGTCTGTACCTAGAGTATTTTCATTTTTCCTGTGGACAGACATACATTTTTGTGTTGCTGCCAGTTAGCTGTGCAAGCTGATAGAAAGCTAACGCTGTCTCACTACCTGTTGTTTGTGGTGTGTCTTTGTAAGGGAGACAATGAAAAACTGTATCAGGAAAAAAATTGATGTCATTTCACTTAATTATAATTTTTACAGCTCTGAGCTGTGGTAAGTCGTAAAGAAAGCATAAGTGCGTGCTGCACGTAAAGCATGCATTACTGCACAAAATTACGTAGCTAGTGAGGCAAGACACCTTTAAAAATATTCCTGCATATTTCTAAAATATTCAGAGTTAGCACATGGATCCTGTTGAAAAACAGGGAATTCATAAATGGTGTATGTGATATAAAAGGTCCACTAGACAGACAAATTAGGTTTCCAGCAGGTACTGATCTATACTATGTGGTGTAAGGAGATAAAAACACAGTCAGTGCAGATTTGTAACCATGGAAGAAACTATATACAGAATTACGTGAACAGACAAAATAATTGGTGCTGAAGTCATGGAAACTCCTATAGAAACTTCACTTAAATAAATCTTGTGACATTTGTCCAAAAAAGCTGGAGAAAGTTATGCAATTTTGAGTAAGCTGCCATTGCATGAACTTTTTCTAATGTATCACAGGCCAGGGGATCTTAGCCAGACATTTATTTACAGTGCAGTTGCCTTTGAACTGTCTGTAGTGCAAAACAAAAATACACTATTTTTCAGTGCAAATTATGCATTCTGTTTCCTGTTGGAAAAATAAGAGGATTCTATACTAATAGTTCTGTGTTGTCACTCAGTGTTACAAGGATGGTGTCAATTTTTCTTGCGGAGAACACTCAGGGTACACTCAGTACAGTTTGCTGGTTTTGAACAGCCTTGTAGCTCTGAGATGTCTTGCTTTTTTTTTCAACTGGGGAAGAAGTTAAAATTAGTAATTTGTGTATTTTGATTTGGTTTTTTTCTTAGAATTATAGAATCATTAGTTTGCAAAAGAGCTCTAGGAACACGAGTCCAACCACAAACACAGTACTGCTGAGTCCTCGACTTAACTGTGTCCCCAAGTGCCACATCTACAGGTTTTGTAAATATCTCCAGGGGTGGTGACTCAATCACTTCCCTGGGCAGCCTGTTCCATTCTTGTCTCAGTGAAACTTGCCTAATGAATACAACAGAAGATTAGGCTTTGATTATTTTATTTTTGGCAGTGTGAGCAAGTCATTGAACCACCTGTTGGAAATAACTGCAGTTCAGCTTAGGTAAACTTCATTTAAGGATTTAAATGGGATAAATATGCTTACTTCTGTCTAGGTAGGTGCTCCCATAGATTTCTTT